CAGGCACGGGCTTTCCGCTTGTGATGAGCTCGACGATGTGGGCGAAGGATGTGGGGTAGGGTGCTGGTGGTTCGGCTGTGGTTGTGGGTGGGGGCATGATGCCGCTTGGCGAGCTGCTTGGAGGGAGGTCGCTGGTTATGGGCAGGCTGGTTGTGGATGCGTTGGGTGTGGTGCCCGCTGGAAGCATCTCGTCTACGACGGAGGAGGCGAGGACGTTGTGCGGGGTTGGTGGTGTGGGTGGGGGGCGGTTGCGGGCGCTGCGGTAGGCTTTGTAGGCGTTGAAGTCGATGTTTTTGTTGTATTTTCTGTGGGGTTTTAGTAAACATCGTTCTTGGAACATAGACATCTCTCGCGTCCCAATTGGGCTGAGATAGATGCAGTAGTAGAAGTCTCGAACCGAACGTACCTCGCATAATAGAAACACCGCGCCCGCAGTGCTAGCTCGGTCGTCTGTTCTGGCGTGCTGTTACTGCCGATGATGGCCTGCAGACCGGCCTGGAACTCGATGTCATCGTCCCAGTTGTAGCGATCCAGAGCCTCATAGATGTCGTTTAGCCCGTCGTCGGTAACGCTCATAGCGAGGGGTTGGGCAACGTAGAGCCCTGGGAGAAAGTGAAGATTGGAAAGGTGATACAATTCACGACCTCAAGGGTCTAAAGTCGACAAGTTCATGGGTGACAAAGCATGGGTGCAGTTGCAACCCGACAAAGACTGCAACGGTGGTACGTGTGGGGTAAAGGAAGCCCGAGGTGCCAGGTGGACGAGCGAGGCTCCAAGCTTCCAGACTACGCCTCGCTAAACGTGCGCCAAGTTTCTGCAGCTTCAGCCCACGACCACGGAGCTCTCCAACCTTCTCTCACCCCTCACTCCTCCACCAACCACTTGCACCCTTCCCAACCACTTTCCCGCCTTCTTTTCTTGTTCATTGAGCTTCAATTCCTTCGATACCCGTTTTGATACCCACGTTACACAGCCATGTCCGAGTTCATCGGGTTAGTCGCAGCTCTCCAATTCGAGCTGGAGCTCCAGCTGACGTCGGACGCGTAGATCTCGCATTTCTCTCATCTCCAAGAGTGACATCCGGTGAGTCCTCCATCGCGTGAAGGCATTGCGCGACGCGACTAACAGCCCCCAGCTATGTCGGTACCCTCGTCGAGATCAACTCAGAAGCCTCCACAGTTTCATTAGACAATGTGCGCTCTTTCGGCACAGAGGGCCGCAAGGGCGGCAAAGACGAGTACCCGCCGTCAGACGTCGTATACGAGCAAATTGTCTTCCGGGGCAGCGATGTGAAGGATCTGCGCATCGAAGAGCCTGTCAAGGAAAAGGCCCAGCCTGCCATGCCGCAGGACCCAGCCATCATCGGAGTAAGTCTACACAACCACCCTTTCTTTTCTTTTTCGATGATGTAAAATTTTCGGATGTAAATCATTTAAACCACCGAGAGCGCAAAACCGTGTGGATATTTTCCGTTGCCTTCCTTCTGAGATCCTTTACCCAAACTCCTTCTGCTACATACTTTTCGAAGCCAAAGCTGACGCGACGCATGCGCCACAGGTACAACAACCCCAGTCGCGGCAAGAGGGCAGTCCACAAGATCTCGCCGGTCGTCAACAACCGCCGCCGAACTTTCCTCAACCAGGTCAATTCCCGCCTGGCGGATACCCTCCGTTCGGTGGTCCTGGCGGCCCTGGTGCATATGGAAACAGATTCGGTCCTCCAGGTGGTTTCCCTGGTGGTCCCGGTGGCCCAGGTCCTTTCCCGGGAGGTCCACCAGGCGCGTTTGGCATGCCGCCGCCTCCATTCGGAGCGCCTCCTGGCTGGTTCCCTCCTGGTCACGGCTTCCAGCAGCCACCTGGTCCCTTCTCGCCTAACATGCCCATTGGCCCTCCCGGCCTGAACCAGAACCAACCTCCACAAGGCCCACGGGGTCCTCAGGGTCCCCAAGCAGGCAAGGATGAGAAGCCAGGTCAGGTCCAGCAACCGAAGGTAGCAGAGGCAGACGGCGCACCATCCAAGCCACAAGCCAAGAACGGCGCGAAGGCATCACCAGCTGCACCAGGCAAGCAGGCTCCCCCGCCACCAGTCGACTCGAAGCCAGATGTATCGGCTGCGTTGGCACCACCCCACCCCCAGAACGGCCAACCACCCGCGAAGGGTGCGCCCAGCGGACCCAAGGGTGGTCGAATCATTCCCGCTGTACCGATTCCAAGCCCAAGGGCGACGAAGGCGGCGCCTCAAGCACAACAAGGTGCCGGCCCCTCTGCTGCTCCTGCGCAAATGCCCACCGCTGCCCAGCAACAAAACGCTACTCAGTTGGCAACCGCCGCTGTCGCTGAGGCCATGGCCAAGCTCAACCTCCAGAACAAGGGTCAGGCACCAGGTCAACCGCAGGGTCAACCGCCTGTCTCAGACCCCATGAACAACTTGGCACAGCAGGTGCAGGGCATGCGCGAACAGCAAAGCCGCCAGCACCAGCCTCGTCAACGAGGGACCGGAGAGTTCCGTGGTCGGGGCGGGAGAGGAGGACGAGGTGGTGCTCACCCTCAACACCCCAAGATGGAAGTGCCCACAACCGACTTTGACTTTGAGTCGTCCAACGCAAAGTTCAACAAGCAGGACTTGGTCAAGGAAGCCATCGCATCTGGATCCCCGATGGGCGATGCCCCAGCAGTCCCTGCTGGCGAGGCTTCCACGGAGAAGGAAGAAGTCGTTATCCCTGGTGGATCCATGTACGACAAGAGCTCCTTCTTCGACAACATCTCGAGCGAGCTGAAGGACAGAGAAGAGGCGGCCACCCGTGGTCAAGAGTTCAGGAGCCAGGAGCGCCAGAAGAACATGGAGACCTTTGGCCAGGGCAGCGTTGACGGCTACCGGGGTGGTCGAGGACGTGGCCGTGGACGCGGACGCGGTCGGGGCTTCGGCTACCGTGGCCGTGGCGCACCCAGAGGTCGCGGTGGCGCTGAGTTTGGTGCCCAGCCTGCCGCTTAGTGGGCGGGAGGACCTGCCAATCCAAACTCATACCTCAGCCTCGAAGGCATTGCGCTTTACTAGCATTTCCTTTTCGTCCATCTCTGCAGTCTTGTGCATAGCTTCCAGCACGCCGAGCGTCTTTTTTGTCTTTTCATCCCCCCAAAGCCCTATGGGCACGACTCTCCTGCGTTTTTCTGGGGCGGCATCTTATCTGATTTGCTCCGCTTTGTATTTGTATCTCTCCACGGTAGCGATGGGAAGCGGGAGTCAAAAGCTGGGAATACTTGGGGGTGTGGTATACAGGACAGGGCCTGAAGGCATACGTGCTATGACATACAATGAAGATTATGAAGACTCACATCTGGTGTTTCGGTGATTGTGCTTTTCCACTTGAGGGGTTGCCTTGCTGCCCTGACCGGGTACAGTGTGAAAGGTACTACCATTGCTCAACATGTATGTCTCATTACTAATTCACTATACACAGCAGTTCTGACACCCACCGGTATTCGCCCCGCCCATGACATCGCTAAATGAATATATACCATGAATAACAACCAATCCCTCCCGCCCCTCTCCCTCCCCTCACTCCTCAGCGCCTATCCCAACCTCTTAATAGCCTTCCCCTCCGCCTTATTGCTCTTACCCCAGGCCTTCATCCTCGCCGCCTTGTCCACCTTATCTTGCGCCCTCTTATCCTTGTCCCTTTTCTTATCGTCATCCTTCTTCTTCTTGTCATCGTCCTTCCTCTTCTCATTAGCCAGGTTGATGCAGCGTCGGCATACATTGTTACCCTGCCTGTTCACTTCAGGAGGGTTGCGACAAGGGCCCGCTGTTGCTGCGGCTGCACAGGGTTCGTGCCAGTGGTTTGTTTTCAGGTAGGGCCTGTGCAGTGGACCGCAAAATTTGCAGAGGGGACAGATTTTAGGACTGTTTGGCACATGCTTGGGGGTGGGGTTGTGGGGGGTTTCAGTCCTGCTGAGGTTTGGTATGATGTGTTGGAGAGGCTTGTCGGGTAATACGAGTATGTGTTTAACTCGTAAGTAGTAAATATAGTATAGAAGTGTCTATTAAAGGCTCTTGTGCTGTAGTGTTTATGCAGACAGACTCTGGGGACAGATATAGCAGATATATATACACATGAGGACTTCTTGACTGTTCTTTACTTGTGGGCTGATCCAAGTGTGTAGTTGTAACAAAAACGCGAATGAGAAAGAAAGCAGCAAATGGGACAATGATGGTGTGCTGTTATGCTCACTGCAATGGCCCTGTGTCACGAAGCGCGAAGGCGACGGGAGGTTGTGCAGCATTGTGAGGTAGGCTACTACAAACTTTAAATGTGTATGACAGGATGATGAATGTGGTGTAAATGAATCTGTACATGCTTCTATGTTGATTGAGAGTTCAGTTAGTGGTTAGCAGCAGGGAATGTGCAGTGTTGTTAAAGACTACCCACATCTGCCGTGAACCCAGATTCCTTGATGGAAGTTCACTGTATGGCAGTCGAGCTTATTAGTTCTTTCGACCATGCACGAGGCATACCTTTGGCACAATGTACACCATACTTGCTCCTGACACCCAGAGTCCGCGCAAAGTCAGTGCATCCGGATTATCAAGAGACGATCGAGAACTCTACAAGGCTTGCTCTTGACCCGCGTGTGCTTTGTTTCTTGAAGGGTATTCCCAGGGTCCTCTGTCATCCCGTGTTTCTATGGAGATCCACAATTGACTATCTGCCCAGCCACTCAGGGCTCGCACAACTCGTATAGAAGGTGATTGCTCTGGTGTAGGCTGCTGGTGACGTATGAGGTCTACTCGGAGTACCGTAGACCCACAGTAAGATTGTAAACCAGGGTCCAGCCATGACCTCGAGTGTGAGTGGCGCCTTCCGCTTCTATCACTAGCCTACTTGAGTAGCAACTGCCTTCGTGGTGCCTCCGACATACCACCTTCGCAATTTCCGCAAAGTCTCTGTCATCAGTCACCGCCGGTGGTATCTCATCAAAGCAGCACATTGAGAAACTTCTACCATGGACGTCGACATGACATCCCCAGCCCCTGCAGCCATCCCCGACACCACCCTCCTCGATCACTTCACCTCAAAGCCTCGACGCGATGACAAGTATACTTACGCGACATCAATCCACATCAAGTCCAAAGCCCAAGCCACAGCCTTTGCGCGCACAATCCACACGCAGCCTCCCGATCGTACCCTCACCATCTGGGTCAACAGCAGCGTCAGCGGTGACTTGCGCAACGAACCCTGCGCTGTCGCAATCGGCTACAACTCACCTACGACTTCTGCCTGGACCGCCCAAGTCACCATCGCACACTACACCAGCGCAAACGAAGCCATCCTATTATCCATCGGCGAAGCGCTCCGCGTAGCCACGTCTCCCAAGATAACTGAGCACGTCGACCGCGTGCTCGTCTTCTCTGATGTGCAACGCGTCCTGAAGAGTATGAGGATGGGCCATCCGTTTGGGTTGGTGAGGGATAGATGGCTTGTAGACGATATAACACATCTCGCCAAACAACTAGCCGAGCAAAGCGTCGAAGTGGAGTTCCACTGGATTCCTGTGAGTCCCATGATGGAACCCCAGCAACGCATACGTCAGACTTCGCAGCGGTTCAAGAAGCTTGCTTTAGCTGAGTACCCACCGGAGTTGCTCGATCGGAGCGTTGGTTTTCCGCCGGTGAGACTGGACGGGGCACTCGTTACAGCGGGTTTGGGAGAGGACTTCGTGGGTGGCTACCTAGGCGCTGCGCTGGAGGATGTAAAGATTTTGCCGCGAAGAGAGTTGAGCCGTGACCTTAGGGTTCAGGCTAGACAGGCTATTAACCAGAGGAGGAAGGAGAGGAAGGAGAAGGCCAATAAAAGACAAGGCGGAGAGGGAGATCAGGAAGCTTGAGAAGGAGATGAGGAAGTTATTGCGTAAGAATGGAATGAAAGTGGAGGGGCAGGATGTGGAAGAGCATGAAGTGCTGGGTTCGGCGTGTGACGGTGAGATGAAAGCGGAAGAGCAGGAGGTTATGGACTTGGCAGATGACAGTGAGATGAATGTTGAGGGGCAGGAAATGCTTGGTTTGGCAGATGACAGTGAGATGAAAGCGGAGGAGCGGGAAGTGCTGGGCTTGGCAGATGAGAGCGTGGCGACTACATACGAGCATTTGGACAACTTTGAAGAGCAGGAGAGGCAATGTATGCTCGTGGAGGGGCTTGAAAATCTGGATTTGGTTTGATGGTACAGTGGTTTGAGGAGCTTCTTTCTCCATGTATGCAGTCAATTCAGCTTAGCTATCAAGTTCATGCCAATCTTCCATCGCTTCCGTAGAGTGGTTCCCCTGCTACCATCGATAGTGCTTTGACAGCATTCCGAGCTTTCTTCATATCTTTACTCTCCGTGACCGTGTGCCAACGACGTCTCTCCTTGGCCAATCATCTGTTGCCCCGAAAGCCAGGCGGCATGTCGAATACTCGTGTCGGAACGGCCACAACATGCTTATCTCCGCCCATAGTTTGCGCACATCCGTATGTGTAGAAGTATCGCGGCCATCTATGGTGGTTTTCGTCGTAGCCAGGACGTTCGGCTCTTATGAACTCAGGTGACACAGACAAGGTTCTGATTTTCGACCCATGCTTGTCCAGATAGCGGAAGACCTCTGTAGCGAATGCCTGCATCATAACTTGCGCGGTATAGACGTATCCTTCGGGAAGCACGATACGTCCCGGCACGTTCGGGTCGAGTGCTGTTTCACCGTCAATACTTGGGGTGGTGAACGTTCGCAGTGCTTTGAGACATGGATGGTTGGAAATACAATCCTAATGGCTCTGTCAGCGATGTGTCTCCATTGAGGAGCAGTTTCCATACCAGTAGAGATGTCAATTCGCCAGAACCAAATTCTTCCCCAATTTGTTCGGGTAACCTGAATTTGACAGCTAGATACTGGACAGTACCCAGACTGACCGGACAAAGATGGATCCCTAGCTCTTCAAGCTTTGGCATCTGTTTCAGCAGTCTACTAAGCTCGGAGCTGGTGTAGTATGGTGGAAGCTGTAATCCGGAAGAAGCAGTTAGACCAAGACGGCGTAAGGACTTCCCGAGTCCTGCCATACACGAAATATTGATTGCACGCCCTTTGCCCACATCCAACCATAAATTCTCCAGCGAAGTCGTCGAGGCGACCACAGCTTCTATTGCTTGTATGTCCGTGTCTGAAGGAGCCCGTCCCGGCAATACTGATATCTCCAAACCTCTCAATGCCGTGGCTCGAGGAACTGCTGTAACAAGAGCTGAAAGAAAGGCTCCGATGGACCGGCATTGACTGATATAGAGTACCCGAAGATCGGAGAAGTTGATGTACGAAAAGAGCTGTGCGGGATATTCTTGAAGATATAGCCATTGTAGTTGAAGCATTTCCAACTGCAAAGTTGGAATAGCTGCTCCAACTGGGTGCGGCCCTCCAAACGGATCCAGCAGAGGAGGAGCAGGACTTCCACCTATGAGACACAATGACCGTAGCCTGGGTGTGTTCTTAAGTAGAAAGGCGCTGATATTGTACGCATTATCATCATCAACGGGTATCGGAACTCGCAACGTCCGGATGTTACCCAATGTAGGGGTGACCCAGGAGCCATGTGAGGTGAGGCTCAAGTTTAGCGAGGAGCTTTCGTTTGATTTGATTTTCCGAATTCGAAGCATTTTTAGCGATTGCTGGGATTGTAGAAGGCTTAGAATAGTAGACTTGCTGATCGTGGGTTGGATTGTGACTCCCAAAAGACAATTCCTTGGAAGAGCGCCGATGATGAGTCTGACCGCGGTGCCAAAGTCGGAGATTGGGTCGAAGTCCACGACATAGCCTGTAGCCGTGTAGATGACGATATAGCGCACGTGGGGAAGTACTCCGTTACCTGCGCTCAGTAACGAAGCTATGTCTCCTGGCACAGTGGCACATTCGAGAAAGAGGGTTTCCCAGAGAATGGGCCTAAAAGGTGGACGCACGAAGTCAGCATATCTTTCACATATTTATCTTACAGCCGTAAATGTACCTCATTATATCCCTCCATTCGCGGCTTGCAAGGCAAACCGCCTTTCTGTGAGGGTTTTGATGGATGTTGGCAAAGATAGCCGCCTTCATCTCAGTCGGGAGGTCCGAAAACGTGGCGGTGATACCGAGGCCGACCATCGCGAGCGGTAAAAAACGCCGGGTAAAGATGAATAGGTAGAGTGTGAGTTAGTTCAGGTAAGCTTGTTTTCTCCAGTTAGGTCGGGGTAAGTGGATCGTTCATAGAGACGCTAGTCCTGATTAGGCCGTGCCCTGAATCCACTGCGCCCTGGTGGTCTGCAGAGAGATTGCCGCTTCCACTTACCATGAATCGCGTTGCTGCATACACTGTGTTATAATCTGATAAACGTATGCTACTCAAGACAATGTGGTCTTCTGATACGACTGTTTCATTTAGGTTTGGGTATTGCTTCGAAGCCTTCATCAGGTACTAATCGTGCTGCATTCTCAAAAAGCGGGAAAACTATAGTGCGATTCCATCTCTTGGTTGCCATTCACTTCATCCTATGGTACTGCGATGACGGAGAGCGAAACGAGCCACTCACGACTCTGGCAACACACACGAGATATTCTCCCGAATAGAGAAATCGCAAGTATAATATACTGCGTTCAACGGAAACACCAACATGGAGCTTTGCAACCGCTGGATGCAGCTCTCTGCTTTCTTCCCATTCTACCGCAACCACAACGTGCTCTCTGCCATTCCACAGGTGGAAGGAGATTGGCGACATTATTGTATGCGACACGGAAAGGCTCGTAGTGAACATGGACGTTTATCAGAGTTTGGTTCTTGGGTGAATTCTCTGGCTACTCATGAGTGATGACTAGTCCGCCTAGCCGACGATGTTGGCGGAGGGGGTACGAGGCGCAACTTTTGCTCTGTACTGGCCTTTATAGTTACCTGACGGAGCGTTGCCGCTGCAGCCACGATGAACTGTTCGTTCGTTTGATCCTCTCCATCCAGACCTTTCGTTTTAACTCGTTGATTAAGAGGAGGAATGAATAGAGTGCGCCTTTGACTCAGGCTGCGGTCTAGTCCTTCGGGTAGGTCATTAAGATGGTACTTTGTGATACGGTATAATTGCGATAGCTTTGATGTTGTTCGCTGGAGTGCTGCTGGTCGGGTGCATCACCGCAGTACCGTGGTCGTCGGTGGGGCTGATGATTCGGATCAAGAGGAGTCTGCCCAAAGAGAGACTACACATTTTCTTAGAGATGCGATACTTCTCTCTTTCGTAGACTATCTCCTCGCGTAAGAATCATATGAAATGGGGGAGGTGTGGTTGGCTCGTCTTCTCTGGGTCGCCTCTGGGACATCGTAGATGTGCAGGACGACATCTGGAGGAGGTTAGAGAGGATTGGTATAAGAGTAAAAAGATCAAGGGCGACCGAGCTTGAGACCCTTGCTCGATGGCGAAGTATTTCTGTCCAGCTGCCAGTCCGATGTCGCCCACGCTGATGAGCACGATGTCTGGAGGGGGATAGAGTGTTGCCGTTATGGCTAACCGCACGGTCGTCCCCAGAGCTGGGGCAGGACGCTTTTGCACCGGCGATTTCTCCCTACGAGGTCCCTGTTGGGTACAGCCGGCGAGAGATGGGGATATGTCCCACTAGGGGTAGAGGGTACTTGAGACGGATGAATATCGAATACGAAGGAACGCTGCTTGGCAGTTTCCAGACAATGTAATGGGTAGAGAAGCTTGGTAGAAGTGGGAAAGTGGGTATGGGAAAGTGGGTAGAAGTGGGAAAGTGCCCAGGTGGTTTGCTGTTATCTTTAGGTGTTGCTCGATACATCAGCCCGCGACGGCAAGCGCCGACCTCGCCCCTTCGCTCAACAAGATGTCCACCCACGCCTTCTCCACTTCTCAACGTTGGTCTCTACCGACTCAACATCAGCCTCGTATCTGCGCTCCCTCGAGTCCATCGAACTGCTCGGTAGAGACGACACAGCCTTATCGCATGGGCAGTCTGCGGGTCGCTTCGGCGACGAGCTTGGCCATAGAGTGCGCCTTTAACTCAGACTGCGGTCTGGTCCTGGGTCGGATTGGTCATTCATCGCAAGGGCGATACGTACGCCTACAACGTGTCGCATGCTAACACCATGATTGCGATTCGATCGCTTCCCAGCCTCAATTCCGTTCCACGGTACTGCGACAACCAACGCGCGACGAACCATTCACGTTTCCTGCAATCCACACATTTCTGACGAGATTGGTCGGTATTTCCAGATGATAACCGTCATGAGAGCAAGTAAGTTTGGTCTTTGGCTCCAGCTGATTTGCAGAAATCTCAACCAGAAACCCCATCCATCCCTTGCTTACGCTAGTATTTATATGCTGATTCGGAATTATTATAAGATGACTCACTTTCAACAGTAGAACTCTAAACAGCTCACTCCGAATCTTCTCCAAACATTTCCACCAGCTTTCCATTCGAAAATGAAGTGGTCTATTATTCATTTCCTGGCTTTCCTGGCTTTCTTGGCCACCTACATTCATGCCGCGCCAGTCGGCACCGAAGCGGCTGCTCCCAAGCCAGTAGCCGAGCGCTATTTCGATGACCAATGCAAAAGTACGTACTCGTCCCTTCATCATACCATCGTAGATCCGCGCAGACGCTGACTTGGGCTTCACAGGTTGGCAGCGCGCAGCTATTCAAACGGCACGAGGTCAGTGCGTGGAACTAGCATTGCACGCTGCTGAAGCCGCATATGAAGACTCCAGGTTCCCGGCCTACTTCCACTCGGATTCGTCAGAAATCAGAGAGTATGTTGCTTCCCGTTTCCACGCAGTAGCAAAGGAATGCACCAAGCCACGCCTGGGTTACCACTGTTCTTGGAATTCCG